TGGTAAAGAGTAGCCAAGAGTTGGCGTGGGTGGTGATGACTAGCTGCCTTCCCTCTAGTCTTACACTGCTAAAGTAGGGACGGCTAGCGCAGATAGCCCTCGTGTAGCTTTGCGCGAAATTCAAAACAAATAAACTGTCTTTTATGATCGACACTTCTTAATTTTATTTTCTTTCCTGAATAGCTGAAATATATCATTATTTTCTCACCAACGTTGTTGTTTGTCTCAGTGATAACTGGAGAAAGAGCTATGGATAACAAGGTTGTCAAAGAGTTTATTTATCCTTGGATTGCGTTAACCCCATGATTCAATGACTTTCTTCATGTAAAGAGTTCAGAAGTAACATTAATTCGTAACAGAAAAACTTGATTTTTTTTTTTTTTTACAGTGGAGCAACTTAAGAAAGGCCCTCAACTTCAAGAACAAATTATCACAGCTGCTCGAAAAGTCAGGTAAGTAATGTATTTTTAATTTATATCGTTACTTATCGCACAGTGATCTTTAACATCAGACCATGATATACAAGGATGATATAAAACAAATAGAAACACCTGCCCTTTGTAGCCTTCTATATTCCCTGTGACAAGAACTGTACTTGGAATGACTGACAAATTCCGTATGTAAATATACTTCTTTTTGTGTATTCAATGGCGGTTTGTTAGTTTCAGAATTTCTGGCAAAGCTATACAAGAGCTATTTGCGCATACCTGTTCCTTATTTTAAATTGATAATACTACAGGGAAGGCAGCTAGTCAACAGCATTCATCATTAGCTTTGGGAATGTTTTATCGAATAGTGGGGATTGACCGTCACTCTTATAGCACATTCACGGCCCCAAGTGATGAGCGCTTTTTTTTTTCGGTAATGGTTTGAGAACCATGAATCCTTGTACTCACAGCCTATGCACACTAAGCACATAATCAGTGCTATAAACATGTGTAAGTATTTTGCAAGCAATCAGTTCCAGTCAAAATGAATAGGAGAGTCGATCTGTCAGACTTCCAAAAAGACCTATAATAACTGGAACATTGCTGATCTTATCTCAGGTCCACCGATGGGTCAACGGTAAGTCTCGGACTTACTACGCTAAAAGCCGAAGTCCCAATCCCAGCGGTGGACAGAGCGCAAAAATACCCATTGTGCACCTTAGCGTTAAAAACTCAACAACAGTTTTTTACTAGACTTCACAAAGTGCCAGATTTGTAAGAAAAACTATCTCCCAGGTGATTAATTAACGATAAACTAACCGCAAAGCCTCAATCGCGAATGGTAACTATGGTCGAAGGAGCTTCAAAAGTGATGGGGATTTATGATCAAAATCTCAATCATAAAAGGTAACAGCGGTCAGAGGAGCTTCAAGAGTGATCGGGATTTATGATCAAAGCCTCAATCATAAAGGATAAGAGCGGTCGGAAGAGCTTCAACAGCGATCGGGATTTATGATCAAAGCCTCATCATAAAGGGTAAGAGCGGTCGGAAGAGCTTGAAGAGTGATCGGGATTTATGATCAAAGGCAAAGCCTCAATCATAAAGGGTAACAGCGGTCGGGAGAGCATCAAGGGTGATCGGTATTGGTGAGCATCACACAGGATTATATAAATAATAATGAAGACCACAACAACCAAAATAACCCCACAAGATAACGTGACCAAGTAGTAACCTGTATCGGGGAGAATAATTTGTCGGAAACTTCACAAGATAAGATATGAAGACCGGGCAACAATCCACAAATCTCTTATTATCCTCACCAATGTATGTAGACTCAAAAGCATTGGAAAATTATAGTAAGATAACATGAACTACCACATACTTTTTAGTCAACGAATGGGTGCCAAAGGATACATAAAATCCTGATTGTGAGAATTATTTTGCCAAATAAGGTTTTGGTTCCATAACGGCCTGAGCAACATGTTGTTGAAAGGTCTTGATCAAAAAATTTCTCTGAAGTGCAGGACATATACAAACCACTACCTGAAGACTATTCTAGAGCAAGTATTAACCACGATGGTCGTGGTTGCTTCGAGAGCCACAAGTACGCATCATTCACATCATTAAAAATGGATTATAGAATAAGATAATGATCCCAGACTAGTACCGTGGCTTACAAATTCTCTGCCTGATTTTAGCGTTTTCGATCTGTTATCAGAGGTAGACTTCCCGACCGATTTCCGCTGATTTCCATTGGATAGTGTATTTATATAAAAGGGTTGTCATGCATATATCACAAACATTCAAAGACCTTGTCGATGTATTACCGCATCAAACGGATGCAGCTGTTGCTGATCTTGATAAACTATTAATAAGATCTGTTGGATAGTAGTTTGTAATCTTTTGCTAACCCCCTTAACACACAACTGGTCTAAATAAACTTAGCTCCGTCAAACGGTCTTGATCTGTCATCCTTAGCATTAGCTTTCGTCATAGTTATCTGTCCAGTCTCGACATAGCCTATATTTATATGTACCATCAGTACTTGCAATGCTTATTTACACAATACGTTCCTATTATACTTCTATGTGGCACCAATTCTGTTTGAAATTATGTAAACAATCAACTCTTAATATACAGTAATTTGTAGCTTAAGTTCTTAGCATAATTCTTTGCTCATTTAGCTGCATATGTTGTTGTTTTTTCAAGCATAAGTTATTGGTTCAGTTTTATGTACTATCAGTTAGTTGTTGGCATTGAGTTATTTGTAAATGTGTGAGACAGAGGTTGAGTACGATTAGAACGACTTAGATGCCTAACTACGTTGTTATACCCAATGTCGCCACCACGTCTGGTTATGCGCTATATGACGAGCGTCGTTTGCATTGCAAAATACTCTGTTGTAAGGCTGTCATGTCCACAGCACACCACTTCACCTGCAAGGTTTCCATAAGCCATCTTTTGTAGAAGGATGACGGTTTCCCAGCATTCAATTTCAACAGTTGGATCGTACAGAAGTACAATGGCACTGCATTCGGCGGCTTGACCATTATCTCTTCGTATGTAATAGTAAGAATATTTGATTCATTCTCCATCTGCTTGAGGAATGTGATGGTTGAATGGGAGCTATGACTGAAAGCTTTAGCTTATTCAACCTGTTGGCCTCATTTCCAGAGGGAGATTCCTCTTAGTTAGGTGCACTATTCCCCAGATGGTTTTTGCTACTGACTTTTGTTTTCGTGAACTCTCACCTGTTAAAAGACGCCACACTCTGCTTACTACAGCTGAAAGGACGACTGATTGCAAGTCTCTTTCTAGCCGAACAACAAGCTTAAACAAATACAAGGGAGGTCCCCGTGTTGGAAAGTCTAAATCTCCGACTTTAACACATCTTTATGATCTGAGTGTATGATTATTTTACATTGGAAAGGGCTGTTCCATATCTTTCCCCAAAACGACCAATCTTCGGTGTAATCACACTGGCTACGAAACGCCAAACAATGTCGAAAAATAGTTATGATACATATGTCTATGTGTCTATGGCAGTTATTTTGGTGTGAAGTTAATAGTTTAGAGAAAAACTATTAATCACCAAGGGTGTTCGAATATTAGCAATCCTCCTTCACCCTACTCGAGATTAAAGATTAGAAGTTCGATGAAAGATCAACGTTCTGATGGGCCAAGTAGGCGAAAACAAATTGAATGCATATATATATATACATACATACATACACGCAGATAATGATGAGGCAAGTGGGCGGAAGTAATGGCGAAGGCGTAGCAGAAGCAGGTTGTTCTTGTAGAAGAAACAAGTCGAAAACGATTGTTGACAATGTATTGAAACAAACTGAAGCAAATGGGCCTTTAAAGGGCCTGGCGGGGATCAATGGACCCAAGTGCCATGGCTGGGATCTATAAATGGCTATTACTCTATAAACCATTGCCACAATGTTATTATTGATAGTGGTACTGCGTGTATGATCACTATGATGCATGATGATCGGCATACCACATGCTATGTATATGCTTGTAAAGTATATATATATTTACTATATCTATACCATGTAGTTATATGGGGAGTCTGTAAACACTGGATTGGAGAGACTACTGAACTATATTGGAATGGTGCATGGACTGGGTTTTGAACTGCATGAGTTTTATACATGCATGCACATGCAGTTCATGTTGGCTAGTATTTATATCTATACATATACATGAATGCTTTATAGCTTTTTAAGATGTAAGGCCATGTATATAGATAGTCATATGAATTCTTCAAATTATATATATGCATACATATGTATTCCATGCAAATATAAGACAGTGTGTCATAATATAATAGGATATGTAAACAAATAAGCATTTATAATATTTCTTATGCTTGTTATATTTCTCTCTTCCTCGTCGCTGCTGCATACTTTATCTGAAATTTTTTTTTTTTCTAAATAAAATATATAACTACAAAATTTCTGCCTCACTTTCGCCTAGAATTGCCACCTCCTGCTTGCATGATTCTTGTTGCAGTATCTGTAAAATTTGAAATAATTCGACACTTTACCATCAGCCATTACCGTGATTGCCGATCCGATGTTTGAAACTGAGCTTGGTGCTATCTTTGAATCTACGGCTTAAATATTTCTGTTGTGTAAGATGACAGAAATCGACCATGCAGTTCTAAAAAACTGCGATCCTGTCAGAAACGTCATGTCCGAAATGGCAGAAACCCTATATATAAATAAATGATACACGACACCAATACAGTTGCGACAGTAAGTTAAAAATTACTATGGTACATGTGTCATGTCTGCCATATAAACATTAAATTACATCCACGGCCTTCATGCAACTATATAAGCATACAAGTAGTAAATTACTGAATTTGAATTATTTAAAATGATTCAATGTCAACGGTTATACAGCCACTGTTATTTGCTAAGTAGTCAAATAAACTTAAAAACTACTCTACACAATGTGCAATGATGCGTTTAGTAATATTGCCCAGATTTTGCTACAATACCCATAGCCATTTATGCTGTAGGCTAGCGGAACAATATTAAATATTAATAAAAAAAGAACAAATAGGCGATCCCTATTATGAACCTCTACCGTGGTTCATGATAGCTGACTCATCCATCAATATTTCACTGTTTCTTTAATGTTACTTTCATAAACAGTACTAGTTGAAATGTTTAATATATATATATATATT